GATGTGTCAGGGAGAAGACCCTGTAAAGTGCGTTTTTTTTTTATTTATGTTGTATACCATGGTGTTAGGAAAAATTGAACATTTTTTGTCAAGCAGGGATAAAATAAATGTCTAACAAATCTCACATGCCTAAGCAGATCCAATGTTAGTTTTTAAGATAAATGTTTAAAAAAAACAAAGTTGACAATAAGATAAAAATAGGTTTATTAGCTTAACTACACTGAATCATATTAATGGTATGAACCGATTAAGGGAGGTACTGTGCACACGATGGAAAGAACATTGAATAGGGCCAGGTGCAGTGGCTTACCCCTGTAATCCCAGCACTTTGGGAGGCCAAGGGGGGTGGATCAGGAGGTCAGGCATTCAATACCAGCCTGGCCAACATGGTGAAACCCTGTCTCTACTAAAAATATAAAAAGTTAGCTGGGCATGGTGGCATGTGCCTGTAATCCCAGCTACTCAGGAGGCTGAGGCAGGAGAACTGCTTGAAATGGGACCTGCTCGGAGGTGGAGGTTTCAGTGAGGCGATATCACGCCACTGCACTCCAGCCTGGGCTACAGAGTGAGACTCCATGTCAAAAAAAAAGAAAAAGAACACTGACGAGGCCTACATCTTACGTCTGACCTTAGTTAGCTGCCTGACAGGAGGATGCTCCTGACCTCTGTGAACCCAATACACCTTGACTAAAAGAGGAGGTTATCCTGTATGACATGTAAGGTTCTACCCAGCTCTGGAAATTGATGATTCTTTATATAGAGAAAGCCTGTATTTATTTGTAAGTATGTGTAGAAGATAGGCGTGTCCCTATTTATTTTGATACAAAACTCCTTAAAACTACTTTACACCCTACTATGTCATTATTTTCAAATACCTACTTACATTATTGAGAGTGACATCATCTCACTGAATTCAAAAGTTAATAAAATCTCATAGACAGCAAGTACATTTATTTAAATAACAAACAATTTTTGTTTAAGGCTCACATCACATCCATATGCATGCAGTGGAACTGACAGCCAGTGAGCAGTTTAGCATTATGTGTATTATGTGTATTGTAAGAGATTATATGCAATTCTCTGAAAAATATTTCATTGTGATCTTTAAAAAAATGTTTCCATTTGTTTATGTGCTCAGGAAGAATATCCAAAAGTTCAAGTGACCTTTAACTATCATTTGTGCTAACTTTTAAGAGGCATTTTTTTCTCAATAATAATACCTAGCACATAATACAGCATTTTCTAAAAATAATAAGACTAGTTCTTACCTTAGGACACCTTTGAAATGTTGTATTCACAAACTGGCTTTAAAATACTGCTCAGTGATTCCTGTAGGACACAGTACACACCATGGCAGAGCAAGGAGCTCTACATTCACTGGGGATGACCTGCCACGGTGGCGTACAGAAACTCCATCAGCACTTCCTGTGGGCTCCTCTTCACCACTGGATAAAACCAACTTAATCTTCACTGCCTTTATCTGTTCTTGAATAAACAGCCCCTCATTCTGGGACTTGAAAACTTCACATATGTATAAAACATGGGCCCAAACCTTTATTTACACCTGAGCCCACAAAATGTAAGAGCCGAGAAGAACCCCATCATTCACAAATGAAAAAATTGAGGTCTTTGCATCTAACCAGGGAGAAATCCCCAAGCATTTATTATACTCATCTTGTTTATTTTTAAATATTTATATTTTTAGGGCAAATTTGTGACTTTCTGTTCATTATACACAATTTTATATAAAGAATAAAAATGAGCACTGAGGAAGATTTCTTCCTCCAGGACAATGCTTTATGTAATTAGTCTATACTCTAAACTAAAAGCAAAAATCCTGGCTACAGCTTCAAAAGGTATTTTATATACTTGGGATTATATATACTTGGTATTTTATATACTTTATATATACTTGGTATTTTATATACTTGGTATTATATATACTTGGGATTCCAACTACCAATTCTTACTTCTGTTTATTCAAAGACAAATGGACATGCATTAATAAGCTTGGGAGTGAAAAGGAATACCTTCTAATCAAGGCATAGCGAACAAACTTTTATAATTGAAAATCAAGTGTTCAAATATTGAGATTAATTTATGCTAGGATGTCAGCTTGTCTCATCGAATTGACCTTGCAAATCAGCTAACATCATAGTTAGAAATAGTTTCTGTGGGGAAATCTCATGATACATTATTTGTAATAGTAACTATAACATCTAAGAAGAAGTAATACAGGCAAATGCCTTTAATACCGCCCAAGTCTCAGTCTCCCACGAGAATTCTCTTTACATGATGCTCACCGTTCTGAGATCCATTTATTGGGCTCCATCCTAGGGTCTTACCTACTGTCTGCGTTCACGTTCGCTTGTATTTATAGGAGTAATTGCAACTGGTACCTCTATTATGTCTCAGTAGTAAATTAAGGCACCACTCTCTGATATAGAAATTTAACAGAAATACTGTTTTTGAATGGGCAAATCTGTTGCATTCTTTTTGCGTATGTCCAATAGCATACTTCAAACAATGGGTTCACTTTGCATTAAATTACTTTGACAAGTAAATAGCTGTTTAACTAAAACTAAAACATTGTTTTGCCATTTGTAACACTGCTGAAATGAGCAAGAATCTGGCATGGTACAACTGATACCATTTTTCTTTTGTAATGCTACTTATACTAATGGTGAATCCCACATCAATAACATCTTGGAATCGGTAAAACATGATCTTTCTTAGCCATTTCTTGGAGAGAAAACAATGAAGCAAAACAAAATGAACCAAAATCTTCCTTGGTAGCAAAACAGTAATGTATTTAAAAGGATATAACTGAACACTTTAAATTGAGTAGTTCTTAAATCTTGCTTAGTCTTAACTATGCAAGTACTAAGTATTCAAATATACATACACATATCAACTATAAAGACTCTTCTGATTTTCCTTCAGGACTTCTAACACTCACTCTTTTAGATTTTTAAAAATCAACCTTGTCATCATTTTCACATTTGTTGTGCCTTTTATTTTTTTTTATAAGATGGCATACATATTATTATTTTGCTGTTTGATGTCAGCCTCAATTCCTTCTCAGAGGAAAACTAAGAAACAAAAATCATTTGGATTTTTTTTTCTATTACTTTTACATTCCCAGTTGCCTGAGAAATGGCATAACCATGCATAATAAACTAACTATATTTTGTAGGTTTCTTTGTAACAAGTAAGAAGTTAGAGGTTTTCAGTTAAGAGCCTTAGCACAATTATACTGTGAATTTAAAATAAAAGGCAAAAAGGAACACAAAAAATTTTTAAAAGGAAAATAATGAAGAGCAAAGAAACAACAAACCCACCAGTAGTGTTTTATTTCATGACACAAATAACCTCTTCAGTCATCATGAATTTTAACACATGTACAGTTTGAGAAGAAAGAGAAATACAGAAGTCCACCTTTAACCTCAGTTTCTGTTACTTGTAGTCAACCAGGGCCCAAAAATATTGAATGGAACATTCCAGAAATAAACAAGGTTTAAACTGTAGGCTTTTTTGAGCAGTGGGATGAAATTTCATGCTGTCCTTGCTCCATCCCACGTAGGATGTATCCACACTGTCTACACTTCCTGCCTGTTAGTCACTTAATGGTCATCTCGATGATCAGACCAATGGTCACAGTAACTCAGTGCTTGTGTTGAAATAACCCTTATTTTATTTAAGAATATAAATAAGTTACTAATAATAACTTTGTTATTAGTGTTGTTAATCTCTTACTGTATCTAATTTATGAATTAAACTTTATCATATATACTTATGTATAGGAAAAAACACAGTATTGTAGGGATTGGCGCTATCCATGGTTTCAGGTATCCACTTGGGGTGTTAGAATGTATTCCCCTTGAAAAACAGGGTACAACTGCTATAGGTTTATTTCGCTGAATCTCATGATTTCTGGGCAGACTGTTGGCCAATGGAAGAAAGAAAAAAGGCATTCTTATGTGCAGTATCTGATAGCGCAAATCATCATTAATGAGCAAACGTAGTTCAAAAACAAAAAAAGATTGAAAAGACCTAAAGTGTCTTTCTAAAAGATCTTTGTATTAATGTTCAAATTTCTTCTCCTGATATATAACCAGTATTTGACATTTTATTTAAACTACTGCTTACTAGTGGTTTGTGGTATAATTTTCCCTTAGTCACTTATGAACTAGAAATAATCACCAGAATATAGAAAGAACCCTAGTGACTAATTCTTAGAAAACTTCTTGTTATAAATATTGAAATATATTATTGTCCACATGCTTGGAAAGGAAACCAGCCTAGAATCAGATTTGTTCAACTCCTCAACAAAACATTTTCTGATAACCACCTCCACAAAAAAAAAACAGCATCATTCTCATAAAGTTAACAGCCCATGGAAAGAATTTTATAAGTGAAATGTATGGGAAGACATTAAACATTCCGGAAAAAGTGTCACTTTACTTTAATAAGGGGAAAGAAATGAAGTCCCAAAGTAAAAATTGTCAATTACTGTCATTACTTTGTTGCACTGAAAGAGTTCAATTATACCACAAAGAATTTTAGAATGTACTAATTTAATTAAAACGTGAAACCTTCCAACAACCTACGGCTTTGGCTAGTTCAGAAATTAGCAAATTTTTGATTTAAATAAGGGTACCTTCCCTATATCCACAAACTACATGCATGATGTATATGAGTAGTGCTATCAGTGTGTCTTTATTTTCTACTTCTCATTATTTTATCTTTTTACTTTGTTGTTCCTTTCAAAATTACTTCACATTCTCATTTCAGACATCTGCATCCTTTAGTAACACTTAGAAATCTGGATAAGATGATGGCCATCATGGAACATAATCACACTCTACATTGATGAATGGCTATTTACAAAATGAGTTCTATTATTTAAAAGAGAAAATGTCATCAAGCTTTTAAATTCCAAATAAAATGCTACAACTCAAATGGCACTGACTAGCTACGAGCTTCTGGAAGTCACCCACCTGGGGCAGCATGCGATTTTCTTCCTCCAGCTGTCTTACTCTTGCCTCCAGCTGCCTAACATAGGACAAGGTTGATTCTAAAATTAAAAAGAAAGAACTCACATTATACACACAGGTCTTGTTTGGTGTACTGTCAGGATATTTCTGGCTTGATTTATTCAAATCAGATAGTGACTATGTAGTCTGTTATTTAAAATAAGAAAAAAAAATTATCTCCCAGAAAAACAAGAAGCCACTGAAACTACAAACAGTTTTGAACAATTTTACAATGTTAAGAAATATTAGACATGATACAAACTGGTATATTTACAGGTGGTGGTACACACAATTGACAGATGATTAGTATTAAGATTCTATAAAGAATTCTTACAAACCAATAAGAAAAGACAAGTAAAGGTATGAAAAATATTTCTCAGAAGTGGAAACACACAAGACAAATAGATCTAAGAAAAGCAGTCCAACATCATTATTAATGAGTAAAATCACACATACTTAGAACAGGGCAAAAATCAGAATTCAAACCTGGATCTAATACCAAAATCCAGTCTCTCCACTGCTCTAAGCCCTTTCAGCTATTTCTAATCACTAAGAATTGAGATATTTCAGAGGGAGACTTTTAAAAATATTTCTGAAATTTGATCCTCTTAAGATGGAACAAATCCCAAAGTCAAATCGTTTTTTATAAATCTTTCTTAAATGTTTAGTATTTCCTCTTCTGAAATAAAGTGTATTGAGGTCAATTTAAAAAAAAAGTATTAGAGAAAATTATAGGTGGTAAGACTTCAGGCCTTTGCACACCAACCAGCCTCAGAATAATAGGCATCTTGAAGACAATTCTACTTTCTTTTCTCCATATTTTGTACATTTTGAGTTGTCAATGAGTTGTTTCACATATACAAGACTATTTTGTAATGTTAACTATAACCAAAATAAACTACAAAGCCCCATTAAAAAAAAAAAAGAAGAAAACAAACTTTTTCAAACATCCAGTTCCCTTTATTTCCACCAATACAAATTTCAAGTCTTAAGAAAAATATTTGTCCTTTTCAAAAACCTATTGTAATTGACAGAAAAACGTCAAAGAGCTATTTAGAGTTAGAATGAATTTTAACTGATTTTGGCTGACTGTGACAGAGATCCAAGTTTTTCACAAATTGTTACGTAAACCAGGGCAGACGTGAAATTAATTCTTGTCTTCATTTCTTCATGAGCTCAGGCCTGTGCTGAAAGCTCAGAATCATTATCATGCTTAGTCTCTGTTCCATACTGAAACTCTAAAGTTTACAGCTTTATGTCAGGAAAAGGGGTCACAAGTCAAGAAACGTGAAGTTTTATTTCTGGGAACAATCTGATAGTAACTCTGCTTCATTAAAGTGAAAATATTCAAGGTCATCACATAGTAACATAGTTGCAATTCATTCATTTTACAAGAACAAACATATTTCAGGTGCAGTGAAAGGTACACAGCAATAGAATTTCTCCAGAGCCCACTTCTGTTATGTTAGTAGCTAGTCAAACATGAGCAGGGCAGGAGAGAGCTCCCCTCAGCCTACCCACCAAGAATATCAGGCAACCATCAGGTGATGGTCAAGTAGTTGTTAACTGTCTCTCTAAAACAATAATTAGTTACAGCCACCACCACGGAAAGGTTGTCTCCCAGTAGACAGAAAAAAACCTGGTACCGGTGATCAGCAGTTTCCCAATAAGATCTCTGGAGTTGGGCGAGTGGGCTCAAGCATGGGCTAGGTGGAAAAACAGCAGGTTTGACTGGTATACGATGACTTTCCTCTGGGAATGCTAGACTGCTAAGGGAAGAATGCCTCAAGGTAGCATGCATACATCTCCAGTAAACACACTGCGCATGCTCCCCTCCCAAGTGCTAGCAGGTCACTGCACATACGGACAGCCCACCTCAAGGGAAGAATCAAGGGAGAAGGGACATGAGACTCCTGAAGCAGGCCAATGTATAAAACCCCAGGTCAAAAGGTCAAACAGTGCACTAGATCTCACAAGTTGCCCACCTGACCCTCTTCCAAGTGTACTTTACTTCCTTTCATTCCAGCTCTAAAGGTTTTTAATAAATTTTCACTCCTGCTCTAAAACTTGCCTCAGTATCTCCTTCTGCTTATGCCCTTCAGTCAAATTATTTCTTCTGAGGAGGCAAGACCTGAGGCTGCTGCAGAATCATATGGTTTTGCTGTCAGTAACACTTCCATAGTTAATACTGAAGCAGAAGAACCTCTTCAGCGTTCATGTTCTTCAGCCTCAGACACACGAAAAGAGCAAGAAGCAATACGGTAGTGCACCTAAGTGTTTGGAGCCCCTAAGGATCCACAGTTAGAAAAATATTGACGCCTGATCTTAAATGCTTCATGAAAACACAATTGTTTTCATGTGGAAATAGTTTATATGAACCCAATTCCATATTTGTGACCTCCAAAGCAATGAGCCAACATTTTCTTTTCTAAAATATATAATATCAGTCCTTAATTCATGAATACAACAATTAAGCTCATTTCTCACTAGTTTAGAGCAGGCCTGTTTTCCAAAATTGTATACAGAAAGCCCCCATCACTAACATTAACATGATGACCCACAGACCTCACACCATTGGAAAGGATTAGCTTTGAGCATTTCTCATATAATAGAAACACAGGTAAAGAAAATTGAAGACATTTGCTAAAGCTATCCTCTCATTTTTTTAGCTTAATAAAATGTTAAAACTCTGCTTTATGGACTTTTCCAAAGAGGGAAAAAAGTATGCAGCAAAAATGAATAGCAAAGTTATTGATTTCATGAGTCTGCTTTACTCTTGCAAATGAATAAGTGATTTGCAGATCATCAAGATGTGAATGTAGATTGCCTGATTTACACTGTTTTGCAAGCCCTGCTCTTTCCTCTGGAAAAACAACTACTTGATAAGGCCATCCAAGTGAAAAGTTGATCAGCAATATTCTATTTAAACCAAACAAAAATAGTTATTTTCTTTTTTGTTCACAATTTACACCTTATCTTTATTGCTCCTATGATGCACTATCTCTAAGGCTGTGATACTTAAAGCAGATGAAAATACTGCAGAGATTGATTCAGGTGATCTTTGAAACATGCTATTGAATGGAATTTGTTTTAATTCAGTGAGTATCTTCTGTCCCTTTATTTCTCTTTTCAAAATCTTTGCAGTTTATATATCTGATGTTTTCACCAAGCCTCTACCTACATTATGAAAGTATTATGTCACTTCAGGAAAAAAATGGGGCAAATTCCTGAGTTTGGAAAAATATTCTCTAACTCCCATTTTTAATGTTGAATTACAACAGATCATGTCTATATCTTTTTTCTAAAGCATTCACTGCAAATATGGCCTGGGACAAGAAGAGACAGAGAATATTTTTAAACAGGTGAAATAATGAAAAACATAGCTTTACAGTGAAGGCAAGGGCAAAAATATTTTGAGTTCATTCATTCAACAAATATTTATTGTGTCACTGATTTGTGTCAGGCACTGTTCTAGGGTTAGGATGAAGATAAGGCCAGTTATTGCAAGCCTTAGTAAGTTTCTGAGAACCCACATTCCCTTTTAGATTACAGGTGTTTCAGAAGGTCCTGTTAATTGTTCCAGGCTCTTGGCCTCTGTTGCAATTATTACTTAACAATTAATGGACACCCGAACAAAAATTCACTTTTCCTGGGGGTAAAACACAAGAAGAATATCTGATCTACCTGTATAAATGAGAGTACTCAGGCTGTTTTGTTTTATTCAGAAAGAAACTGATTACACCATCCTTTAATGGGAGTGGAGTAGAAAAATACTTTTCTGGAATATACTGTGATATCAGCATTGGGTCCCCAAGTCCCTACAGGAAAAGCCATTTAAAAAAATCCAATCCCCTAACCGTGACATGAGAAAAAATGAAGAAATACTTGTTTAGTTAAAATCTTGGGATTTCGAGGTTTGTTACAAATCACAGGTCAGCTGAGCCTGATTAGTAGTGCATAACTAATAATTAGGTTTTTTTAATGTAAGCTATATTTTAAATAAAATATAGAAAACTTTTTTATTGCATTTTAGGTTTTGGGGTACATGTGAAGAACATGCAAGATTGTTGCATAGGTACACACATGGCAGTGTGATTTGCTGCCTTCCTCCCCTTCACCTATATCTGGCATTTCTCCCCATGCTATCTCTCCCCAACTCTTTTTTAAAAAGATACATCAAAGTCCACATCTGATAGTTAGTCATTAGGAAAAATTGATAGAATTTTCTCATGGTGTGAGGAAGAGAGGAAGAAAGCCTTTTGGATGCTGGAACACATTTGACCACATCCACTACAACCCCCTTCCCCATGCTGCTTTTTCCCTTTTTTTCCTTTTTCAAGGGTGTCAATGATAAAATAAGCTGATCTCCCGGTGCACTCTGGACGTGATGGACAGCTGTACCTAATGGAAGTGTGTGACAAAAATTGGCATTCATTTTATTATGAAGTCATTAATAGAAAGCTGCATTTGAATATACTACAATTTAAATTGAACATTACATTTTATGCCAGTAGCTGAAAGCTTCACAAAACTGAGACTTCAGAATGCCATTTTGGCTTTTAGAACTCTGAGAATGAGGCTCCAAAAGAGCATCAAAAAAAATAGCCAAATTCTCAGCCACAAAGTACATAAATATATAATGCATTATAAAAGGAGCCTATATTCAAGAAACTTACAAGCAGTTGGGGTATAATGAGAGAAAAAACAATATGGTAATTTGAAATTTAGTGCTAAATCCTGTTAAAGGGGAGCAAAGAAAAAAATCAACATTGGCAGTAGTTCTTATGAAGGAGAAACTCAAGCTTAAAATGCATCAATAAAATTTTGATAGGCCAGAGAGATATGAATGGAGCCATAGGTGGACCTGGGACAGAAACCAAAAATGATCCTATTATAAACACAGAAGGAAAGCAATCATGTGATGGAAAAGAAAGGGACATTGGGGTACAGGAAGAGAGGCCAGGTTATTTCCCACAGTCACACATCCGAAAAAGCAAACATCAAATCATGGTAATCCAATAGCAATTTGCTTTAAACCTCC